TTTTTCTTTTTCTTTTTCAAGATAGGGTTTCTCTGGGTAGCCCTGGCTATCCTGGAACTCACACTGTAGAACAGGCTGGCCTCAAACTCACAGATCTCTCTGCCTCTGCCTCCCAAATACTGGGATTAAAGGCATGAGCCACCACTGCCTAGCCAAGTCCAAGTATTTTAAAGTTGAATTTCTATAATTTTTATATTAAAGTATTTGGCAAAAAATTGTTAGCAGATGCTGTTCTTAAGATTGGGCACTAGAGGGAGGATGAGAGTTTTGGGAAATCTGAATTTGTAGTTGCTAGTAAGAACAAACCACTTGGCTCAGGAAAACAGAAAAACAAAATTAAACCAAATTTAATTTTGTTGATTTTAACTAAAAGTACACAAACGTAAGACTTTTAATAACTTTTTCTACAGCCTAAGATTTTTTGTTTTTTAAAGATAAGCATTGAGATCAGTGTTTTTAACTCTCCAAGCCCCACAGGAGGGAAATGAAGCAGGCATCTTTTTTTCAGAGAAACACTAATTGGAGAGGGCAAATACAGCTACTGGAATGTGTGTCTGTGTGTATGTGCGTGTGTGTCTGAACCAGGGCACTGGTCTTTGTCAGAGTGGGAATCTTGCATCAGTATCAACTCGCCAGCTACAATCTTGAGCAAATGCTAACTCTGAGGACTAACTCGCCCATCAGTAGGAGAGAAGGTCAGACAGTGCTAATAATAGTAATTAAAGTATCCTTTCAAGGTTGTTCTGTTTAAATCATTGTGGGAAGATTTTTTTAAGGAGATGCAGGCTCATCCGCCTGACTTTCAGAGGTTAGAGGCGTATGAGACAGACAGACGTACATGCTGCCATAGCTATAGACACTCTGCTGGTGGGCTCGGGAAATAGCAGCTTGGAGCCTGGTGGTGCACAGTGAGTCAGCTTTATGCTAGATTCTGTTTCCGAGGCAGCATCTGAGGTTCACCAGGCTCTGCACCTGGAGCTGGTTACAGAAACATCATGTAGCATGAAGGACATTCCTCGTTCAGACCAGGCCGGTCGCGGTGGAAGGAAAAGTCCTAGGAGGCACACTGGTTTGGGGATCTCCAGTTCTCATCTCCTTCCCCAATTGCTGTGAGCTTTCACCTCCCAGAATCCTGAGACAGCTGCACAGGCTGAGGATTTAGCTGCCTTCATGTGGAGACACGGGCAGGGAGTGTTGGCTCCATCTTAACAGAATCAGCTCTCTGGGTAATGCCTTTACCCCCCCCGCCCCCACCTCATGCCCTTGGAACTAGAGTTACAGAAGGTTGTGAGCTGTGGTGTGGGTGCAGGGAATGGAACCAGGCTCCTCTGCAAGAGCAGCCAGTGCCTTTAACTACTGAGCCATCTCTTGAGACCCTTGCTAACTTTCTTTGTCAAATAGTTTATTTCACATGATTACCGGGAATGAATAAGGGAATAGATAAGCTGACTGAAATTAATACAATAAGAATTCAGTTATTGTATTAAAAAGTTGAGGTTTTTTTCTTTTCTTTTATGTTGAACTCTAAGGGGACAAATCTTAGGCTTATATAGCCGGGACTTGGGGCAGAAGCAAAAATGCAGATGGAAGCTCTTAGTTAGAGCAGAAATTAGTATTGCCTCCTCTGTTCCTTTTTTATTTTTATTTTTTCTTTTAGACAAGGTCTCTTTGTAACCTAGCCTGGCTGAGAACTTCTTATGAAATCTAGAAGAGTCTTGAACTCATGATGCTCTTGCTTCAGCCTCCAAAGGGCTGAGTTTCCATGTGTGCCTTACCACACCTGACTCAAAAATATGCTTCAAGCCAATGTATCTCTTTCTCCCTAAAAAACAATTATTCTTTCATTTCTTTTTCGAGACAGGGTCTTTCTGTTTAGGCCTGGCTGGCCTGGACCCCTGTTGTGTAGATCAGTGAATCAGAGAGTGTCCTGCCTCTGCCTCCTGCGTGCTGGGATTAAAATCGTGCACCACAAGTTTTATTATTTCTAATTATGCATGTGTGTGAGTCTGCGTGTGGGTCTGTGCACATGACTGCTCGTGCGTGTGGGGGGCGGCAGAAGTGTCAGGTCCCCTGGAGCTGGAGTTGAGTATAGGTGTTGGCAATCAAACTCAGGTCTCCTGGAAAAGCTGTGCGCGATCAAGCACGGAGCCATCTTGACAGCCCCCAATTCATTTCTCCTTGACGTCACCTACGTGTAAAGGCGCAGAAAGAGAAACTGTTCCGGTTAACCATTTAGGAATGCTTTATATTCCTGATTTGATTAGGTTAAATAAAATAAAGCCTCGTTTTTATTTTAGACTTTTGCGATGAAACTGTCCCCAGTACTGGAGGTGACAAATGTATTTCCCATGACCCTTCTAATCTGAAATTTCTGGTGCTGGGGACTGGGGAAGGAAGACTCAGTGTAGCAGACTTGAAGAGGTTTCATCACCTACTTCCTCTGTGTGTGTAGCAAGAAAGAGAGAACACATGAAGATCCCATCATGTTTGTGCCATTCTGTTCAGCAAAACATCATCAAGGCCAGCTGAGGGACTCAGGGAGATACAGCGGCCTGCCATTCGAGGGTGACACCCTTTAAACTGTGATAGCGGGCATATGGTGTCACCCAGGGAAGCAGCCATTAGTGTCCTACTGGTGAAGTAACAGGACGTGGGAGGACATTCTACACGTATAATTTAATAGCATTCTGAGTCATGAAAGGAGTTCTGCAAGTTGTTGACTCCAAATTTTGATAAGGACCTACGGATAGTACTTGGTACATTTAAAAAAAAAATCATTTGAATTTCTATACCCGAGATTGTACATGCTTTCACAGCCACCTGTGGGATTCCATTCCTAGACAAAGAGGACCGAGCTGCTGTTGTTAAGGGATTTACTTATGATCCACAACCCTGAGACTGGGACCAGAGCTTTTAAACTGTAACCTGGCACTCCCTACCGCCCAACACCACATTGAGTTGTACCAAGGGAATTATGGGAAGGCCTACTTAAACTGATTTTATTACTTAAAGAATCACATTTGGGGCTCGGATGTCACTCAGCTGACAGAGTGCTTACTGGGTAGAGGTGGGGTGGGGTGAATGCTTGTAATCCCAGCACTCAGGAGGCAGAGGCAGGAGGCGAGGCAGTATGACATCATCCTCTGTTATCATAGCGAGTTCAAAGGGGTTGGCCTGGGATACATGAGACCTTGTTAAAAACAACAACAACAAAACAAACAAACAAGTAACCAAAAACCAAAACAAAACTGCACTTTGGATTACCAAAGGGGATTTTAGTTTGTAAGTTTTGGGAATACCAGGTAAGCGATGTCCCAACAATGGGAAATTCTAAGTATGGGTCTGAAAGGATGGTCAGAGGTAAAAGCCTTTGCTTTGGAAGCTGAAGATACAGATTCAATCCCCAGGACCCAAGTGGAAGAGGAGAACTGACTCCTGGAAACTGTCTTTTGGCTTCTACAGTGCATGTGGGCACACACGTGTGAATGCACACAGTACATTAAGAAAGTGAAGTAGATACTGTTGAATAGAAAGCACATTCGCTAACTGAAACTCCCAGAATATCCTGTTGCCCATAGATGCATGGAGACATTTGACCAACATTTAGGGACAGGCTGAGAGGGTGTCCCCCACACTGGTCATCCCAGGAGAGGCGTGCAAACCACTACCAGTGTTATGCCAGGTTCACCCTCAGAGACCACCAGGAGACAACTCGATGCAATAGCAAGAGAGCTTTATTATGAGAGCGAGCAAACTTGGGACCCAAGTCTCACTGTCGCAGCAGTAGAGAAGTGGGACCCTGAGCTCTGAGTGAGCAGGATTTTTAAAGGGAAAGTCTGTGAGTAGGGGGTTTCCATGGCAGCAAGCAGGGGAGCACAAGCCTTGGCGTTAGAGAATTGGGTGAAGTTTAGCAGGGTGGGGTGACCTTTTCTGAGGCACACAGTTACAATGGCTAAGGCATATAATCACAATGGCTATTTTTTCTAAACCATATCTGAAACATTGGGGAGAATTTTCCCACCCAATTCTCAACGGATTCCCATTTATTATGGCCAGGGAGTTTGTCTCTATTCTTTATGAAGCATTTATTCTGTTATATTTCCTGGAGGCTGTTAGGAGAGTTAACTTTGTTTTCTGCCAGGTGCACATTCTATGATATTTCCTGGTACCTGAATTCAGTTCCCAGTCAAGATCTTTTTTTTAAAGTGGAGTTATATTCAGGCTAACTTAAACTCTTCACCAGATCTTTGGTATTTACGATATTATTCTTTGAAATCTCTGTAGTTTAAAAATAAGTCTGGGTGCTGGCAGACAGGGTGCGGGGACATTAAGAGAAGGAAGGTGCTTCGGCAGTAGCTCAGTGGAAAGTCTACACTCCAGCAGGATGTAGAATGGTCTAAACCCGTGGTTCTCAACCTTCCTAATTCTGTGACCCTTTAATACAGCTCCTCATGTTGTGGTGACCATGAAGTTATTTTGCTGCTAGTTCATATCTGTGATCTTGCTACTGTTATGAATCCTAATATAATCATCTATAATGCAGGATCTCTGATATGAGACCCCCCCCCCCCATGGGGTCCTGACCCACAGCTTGACAACCACTGCTCTAATTGAAAGTCCTTGCTGTTTAGTCTCAGGATACGAAGGATTGCACCCAGGCAGACAGTGACCTAGTGCCACAATGAGAAGGGGGGGGGGGGAAGGAAAAGGTACCTCCTGGAAGTGCTGAGGCTGGAATTCACAAATCAGAAATCTGGTAAGTTTGGTAATGGGTCCATGTGGTAAATGTCTTCACTATGTTGGAAGAGAGACTTGAGCTTAGGCGTCCCCTTCCCCTGAGGGCTCCAGAGGCCGAGCGTGATGTCCGGCCTGCCTTTGCTCCCACTGTCACCGAGGTTACTGGATGCGTCAGGTGCTAAGTTCTCAGGCGAGCCGCCGTCCTTGCCTGCCAACTTCTGCAGCATTCACTGTCGGCGAGCTGACAGTCTTTGTGTTTCCAGGCATGAGAGGATGCATACCAGAAGACCCCACCGTGTGGAAGATGCCAGCAAGCGCTGCCTTGAGGATGACTTGGTCAACCTTGAGGTCCTGGATGAGGTACTGAGTCCTTAGTAGACAACTCTCGTGGAGTTTCCCTTGGGTGGCCTGTCCCTTCTCCGGCCCTTCTCTCCATTTCACTTACAGAGACAGTGCAGTTAATATCGTTCAGCTTTGGAATCTGAGAACTGTAATAATGCCTCCTTCAGAACGCTTGCCTTGGCGTGGGCTGCCAGTTGGGCTGAACCTGTGTCTGTCGAGTCTAATGCTGTTGACCACAGTCGCCAATGCGTAACACCACAGTGTTCAATTCCGCATTCCCACAATCCAGACTCGGAGCGTTGCTTTTGAGAAATTCCTAAGGCTGGCCGGACAGCTCAGCTGTAAATAGCCTGAGCAACCGCTGCTTTTCCGGGAACTCATGCTCGGTTCCGTGCACCCGGGGCATCTGTCACGGACAGTTACAACTAACTACAAATACAACCTTCTGATTGGACAAAGGCTGCCCCACCCCAGTAACAACTCAAATCTTCATTGGCTATCTCGATGCCTGTCAGCAAGTCTTAATTCTATCCTTGCATTTCTCGAGGCATTTTAGCGACTTGGGAATCGCTTAGCGTAGGCAGCTTGAGCGACTTTCCGCATCTCTGCCTTGACTGGCCACACCATTCTCAAGGCCAGGTCTCCTCTTCTTAGGATGCAATCATCTACTGGCTGCGGAAGCGGTACGAAGAGGCGCTGATCTACACCTACGTGGGCGACATTCTAATCGCCTTAAACCCCTTCCAGAATCTAAGCATATACTCTCCACAGGTGAGGACCGCCCGAGTGACTAAAAATCACAAGATCAGGTCTGGGGATGGAGCTCAGTGGGAGAGCAATTGTTTCACATGTAACATGGCCCTTGGCTCAAACCCTGACACTGGGGGGGAAATGAAATAGGCAAATAAAATGAAGCGGCCTTGAGACCAGGTAACCCTTCTCTTGCCGTGGCGCTGACACCCCCAAACTGTAGCCAATACTTGAACATGAATGGGATTTTCATCTTTGGGGAGAAACTTCTTAAATCGAGGAGCAGCAACACAAGTTAACAATGATTGAATGCTCGCTACAGGCCAGGCGGAACACTGGGTTAGCTCACTTCTTATCACCCGGAGGAGGGCAGTTTGGGTCCTTGACCAAGCTTGTGTCGCAAGCAACAGAGAACAGGCGTTAGGACGTAGGCCTGCAGACTCCCAGGCCTTCCGGAAGCAGTGAGGCCCCCTAAGGTGAAAAGCCTTGTTCTGAGCAATAGACAGTGAAAACATTAGTTGGTCCAGAAGGGTCCTTTTAATGGGTTTTTCCCCTTCAGTTTTCCAGGCTTTATCATGGGGTGAAACGTGCCTCAAATCCCCCCCACATATTTGCATCTGCAGATAACGCCTATCAGTGTTTGGTCACCTTCAGCAAAGACCAGGTAAGGGCTCGCCTTCCTCTCCTAGTAGCTCACAGAGGTAGGACGTGGCCCATCTTCCATTTTTGTTCAGCTCTGCAGTTGCTGAGGCTGGCCCGAGGACATGGGGAATAACATTGCTGTACAAAGGACCTGGAAGCCTAAGAAGGCGAAAAGCTTGAACTACATAACGCACGTGTCTCAGGAACAGTCATTTTCTCTCGTAAAATGCAATAAAGACATTCCTGATGTGGACATAATGGGAACACGGAGCAACCACAACCTGATTACATGCAATAGCTGTAATAAAACGGGATATCTAATGGCGTAAATGAAATCCCTTCCTATTAATGTGCCAGAGTCTTCACAACCCCTGTATGTAAAATACTGCGCTCTCTGGACGCTGGCCCTGTATCACCTAGACGCTGGGAAATTTGATGGGTTAGGGCTAGGACTGAGAAACGTTAAGTTCAATGTTAGTTGAACAGAAAGTTAACTCATACATTTTACTTGTCTAGACTTCTAATTCACAGCGTGGCTTATCCTACCTTTGGCCCCCTCCTCCATTTTGCTAGGTTTATTTTCCTTTATTTCTGTAAACAGATAGAGGTAACCTAATTTGGCAAGAAAAATTGCATGGTAACTCACTGGACTCCTCCCTTGACTCTCTTTTCCGTGTCAGTGTATTGTCATCAGCGGAGAGAGCGGATCAGGGAAGACGGAAAGTGCCCATCTGATCGTTCAGCACCTGACGTTTTTGGGAAAGGTATGGGCCAATCTGCTTTCCGTACCACGGCTCCTGCAGAACCCATTGTACATTCCATAGCCAATGACAGTACTATATTCTTTTATGTTTTGATCGGGGATCACGTAAGAACATTTCATCTTTGTTACATTTGCCTCCTGACAGCGAGGCTCTGAAGATGCCAGCGTTCTGTCCTTACTTCATGTATTGAGAGAAAGAATATCAACATAGATTTAGTAGGCTGTGGAGATTTAATTGTTTTGTGTGTTTTCAGTGTGATAGAAACATTGAGCCATTAAGAAGGGAACGTGGTTAAATGCCGAGGTCAGGTGAGAGAGATCCACTGTGGTGATTAGGAAAATGGTAACCGGAAGCCATTGTGTAACAGTTAAGGAAAAGGACAATTTCAGCCTTGACATGGACCTGGAAGAAAGGATTGGCGAAATTAGTTTGGGAGTCACCTATAGTTGGCCTTAGTGTATCACGTGACTAGGAAAGGGTCTGAGGACTCCTTTATTAGAGTTGAGGGTTTCGGAAGAGCACAGTGGAAAAGTTAGAGAATGTCTGTGCTTCGAATTCTTTGTCAACTATTAAGCGCTAACCTTCTGTCAAAGGTTGTCTATGCAACCCAGCCAGACTTTAAAACTGCCGGTGAATCTGGCTTTCTGATTCATGGCACCTTGTGACTCCTTCATGTAAGCAACTCACAGGTTGATACTAACATTCCTTCGGAAAGGAGCTTGGGCAGTGGGACGCGCGCAGGGCGACCTTCCTGAACCGCTGCTCCTGAAGGCTTCTCCTGAACGCCGTCTGTCCTCCCAGGCCAACAATCAGACCCTACGGCAGAAGATTCTCCAAGTGAACTCCCTGGTCGAAGCCTTTGGCAACGCCTGCACCGCCATTAATGGCAACTCCAGCCGCTTCGGGAAGTATCTAGAAATGATGTTCACGCCAACCGGAGCTGTGTCGGGGGCGAGAATCTCTGAGTACCTCCTTGAAAAATCCAGGGTTATAAAGCAGGCAGCGTAAGCGCACTTCTGTCCTATCATTGTGTCTTTGCCTTTGCCTATATGGAATTGGGAATTGTGAAGGTTCCCATCTCTTCTTGTTCTTTAGTCTCCTTCAGTTTTTGTTGTTGTTTTGTTTTCCAAGAGACAGGGTTTCTCTGTGTCGTCTTGGCTGTCCTGGACTCCTTTTGAAGACCAGACTGGCCTCAACCTCACAGAGATCCGCCTGTCTCAGTGGCATTAAAGGTGTGCACCACCATTTCTGGCTTCTCCCACAATTCTTTAAAGCAAAGGAGCAGTGGTAGTTGGTTTGTTTAAGATTTTGTTTTGTCTTATGTGCATGAGTGTTTTACTTGCGTGTATGTTTCTGTACCATGTGAGTGCCTGTTACCCTAAGAGACCAGAAGAGGGAGTCAGATCCTTGGAACTAGAGTTACAGATGGTTCCAAGTTGCCATGTGCTTGCTGAGAACTGATCTCAAAGCCTCTGCAAGAGCAGTAAGTACTCTTAATTGCTGAGCCATTTTCAGCCCTTGGTTGTAGTCTTTGTTTTGGTTGTTGTTGCTGTTTGCCTGAAAGGCAGAGTAAAGGGCTTGAGGAAGTCCTTTATGAACGCTATACCTGTTTCTCTTGAGTTGGTTGTGTATGGTAGAATCTAACAATAATTAATTTGCACATGCCTTATAAATCCACTTTATTCCTTAAATGTGAAATTGTCTGTAACAAAAAGCACTGAAAATATTCCACATGTTTTCCCTTCAATTGGGAGATGAAAGAATGTAATTATACTATATATCTTTTTTGTATTTGTAACTGCACTATGTACCTTTCTGTTGCTCTGATTGAATGCCATGAGTTAAAAAGCAACGTAATGGAGGCAGGGCCTATTTGATCTTACAGTTCAAGTGGGTAAACACTGTGGCTAGGAAAGCATGGTAGCAGGAACATGGGTCTGGATGATCACATTTCATTGGTGCACAGGAAGCCGAGAGTGAGGACAGGAAGTCTGGTTAGGCTGTCAAACCTCAAAGCCTGCCACTCATCCAGCAAGGCTCCTCTGCCTAAAGGCTTGATCGCTTTCCCAGACAGTGCTACCAACGGGGGACCTAGACCTAGTGCTCACATATATGAGCCTGTGGAGGACGTTATTCAAACTACAGCACTCTCCTTTAAGGAATGCATTACAGTGATAGGTAATCATCATCAACAGCATGTTTTTCTGAGCTTGGATGCGGTTGTGACCTTCGGCAGATCACCGAACATTTCCGAGGCTCATTTGTAAAATAGAGATGCTACTAGCAATGGCCCCGTGGGTCTGTTGGAAAGACGGACAAGTTCATCTGTATAAAATTACTTAAAAGCACGGTCTGTGTTGACCGTGTTAGCACTCTTCTTCTTCTTGGTTTTGATGACTGCAGGACACCAGTGTTTCTCAGGAGCAGGGCTGCAGACACACAGCCACTCCATATTGAATGCCTGCTCCGTGACAGAGCACACAAGACAACGTCCCCCTGTCCACAGTGTGTGTGGGAATGAGAGGACCATCATTGTTATAGGAATACATAAGTACAGCAGATGTGGTCAGTGCTGGGTAGCAATAGTGCAGCCATGTAAGTGCTAGGAAAGTGAAGCTGGCGAAGCGGGGGCCACACAACCTGGCTCAGGAAGAGGACTTGTGTGGAGTTGGTGGGGAAAAGGTGCTCCATTTGAGATAGAACACCATGACAAAAGCAACCTGGGGAGGAAAGGATTTACTGTGCTGACATTTCCACATCACAGTCCAACGTCAAAGGAAGTCAGGATGGGAACACGCACAGGACAGATACCTGGAGGCAGGAGCTGATGCAGAGGCCAAGGAGGGGTGTTTCTGACTCCTTCCCTCCCATGATTTCCTCAGCCTGCTCTCTTACACCACTGTACCACAGGCCAATCTGGTAGGAGCATGGTTTTTTTTTTCAGTTGAGGATCTCTTTTCCTAAATGATTCTGTCTTGTGTCCAGTTGAGAAGAGGCAGGCCAGCACACCTAGGGTCCAGACAGAAAAATGTGTTTCCTGGATTTGAGATGCCTGGTCTGAGATCTGTGGATCACTTAGGAGTTGGCCAACAAAATGGGGACAGGAATGAGGAGAAAAACAGAGGGGGCTACTGAAAACGGATCACGCAGGGCTCTGAACCTTTCCTGAAAGACCAGGAAACTGGACAATGTGTTCAGGCTGGGGAGCGGTCACCCCTAACTTGTATTTTGAAATGCTGACTCTAGCTTCAGTGGGCCAGTGGAGATGGGAGGGAGTCAGCTGATAAAAGTGGTAGAGCGGAGAACAAGAGAGACCAAATAGTCAGATGCTGGACAAATGGAAGCCACAGGCTTAAGACTAGTTTAAGAATCCAAACATTTGTGGGTATGGCTGGTGGGGTATGGGATGCTAGGTTTCATCTTCAGCACACATGCATTCACACACACCACATACACCACACACACACACACACACACACACACACACACACACACACCCCAATAAACAAAAGCTCCAAACACCTTTCCGTTTCCTTGCACATTGGAAGCTTCCCTGAACAAGGAAAAGATGGGTGAAAAGATGGAGCTCCAGGTGTTTGAAGCTTTCCTGTGGCTTTCTTGATCACTTGTGTGAGTTTCTCTCCATCATCGGCATGAAGGTTGCCGTGTCGTGTGCTCCACGCTCTTCCTGTGGCAATGTTGCTCATTGGCGTAAATATCGTCTCACCTTCTTCTTGTGTCATACAGGCCTAGTAACGCCAATCCCCCAAGGTTGTTAAGAGAATTGAATGGGATGAAGACAGGTTAAGGCTTTTCAGGTCCTGCCCCTACAACTGTGGCATTTCTGTCCTCGCCCTGGCATACTGGGGTGTCCCATTCCCAGGTCCTCCATCTCTGGATGAGGTCATGTGAAGTTCTGCCAAACAGACAATGAATAAACAACCTTCCAGGGGCTGGCCGCGTGTAAGAGAGCTCTCTGAGCTCTTGTGTACAGACGTCTGTCTGTGTGTCCCTTCTGTCTGCAACTCCCTGCAACTCCTGCTCAGGCTTCAGGGCTTCACTGTAGGGTTAATTCCCTGGTGAGTCTTTGCCTTGACTTGGCAGAATTGATTTCCATTCTCAGCATTATTCTTTGTCAGATCCACCTGCTTATTTCCTTGAAAGCCTTCCTCCCAAGCTCCCCTCTTGTTTCTTCTAATCCTGTCCAAAAGGGTTGAATCCTCTTAGTCCTGTTTCTCTGGCATCTGACGTAGTGCCTGCTATAATTGGCATCCGGTACACTTATCAGTTGAATAATGCCCTTTTAAAGCATCTATGTGCATTCTGTGCCATACTGCATATCTTAAATACACAAACAAATTTTGTCTTAAACCATTAAAAGAGCTCAGTATGGCAGCCTGCACTTTGTAATTTCAGCACCGGGGAAGCAGAGGCAGGAGGATCGCAAGAAGCCAAAGGCCGGGGATGTAGCTCAGTGGTAGAGTGCGAGCCTAGAAAATGCAGGATCGTGGATCCAACTTCCTGTGATGAAAAACAGATAAATGAAACAATGATGTTCTGTGAACAAGTGAGTGAGAAATGGCAAGTTAGCGGCATCTAGAATACAATGATACACCATCCTCCTGCCTCTGCATTCGAAATATCCCCTTCACATTAAAAAAGGAAACCCAAACAACAAACAAACAAAACAACAATGAAAGAGGTGGAGAGCAGTAGGCATTTAGGGACTGAAGAATGACTTTTTTTTCTTTTTCTTTTTCTTTTTCTTTTTCTTTTTTGAGACAGGGTTTCTCTGTGTAGCCCTGGCTGTCCTGGACTCACTTTGTAGACCAGGCTGGCCTCGAACTCACAGAGATCCGCCTGCCTCTGCCTCCCTGAGTGCCGGGATTACAGGCGTGCACAGGGTGTCTGAGAGCATAACACTTTGGGAGCGTGCAAACCTGAGTCCTGAGACAAATTCTTTCTTGACTGCCGAGGAACTCCCACACACTTCTTGTCTTTGGCTTCAGTGAAGCAGGTGGTTTGGCTAGTTGCTGTGGGCTGGGCTTCCCACTCTTTGAAGCCACAGGGGCTGTGACACACATGCACCAGACCTGGAGCTGCATGGGGAGACTGTTCCACGTAATGTGAGCTGAGCTGCTTGCTCTAAATGAGCAGAGCTTTCTTCAGCTTGTAGTGAAGGTATAAACACTTGAAGTGCTGCTGTGATAACTACTGTGTGGATGTTACTGCCTCTGCATTTTCTGTTGTTGCTGTTGTTTTTTGTTTGTTTGTTTGTTTGTTTTTGCAATTGGGATGAAGCATATTTAATTGCCCGCTTACATAAATTTGTTGCAAAATAATATTTTATGCAGAGAAAGGAATGAAATCAGTTATTTAGGTCTGGAAATCCTGGAATATGCTATAATTCTTTCTCAATTTATTTTCAGGGGAGAGAAAAATTTTCACATATTTTACTACATTTATGCTGGCCTTTATCACCAAAAGAAACTTTCTGAGTTTAGGCTTCCTGAGGAAAAGCCTCCTAGGTAAGTTTTGTTGCAAGACCTCTTTCATGCTGATGGGGAGGAGCCTGAAGGAGTGTTCAGTTAAGCATCTGGCAAATCTAGAAGTAAATGGAGCTGTTTCCTTAACTGAAGACTCGTTCTGTGAAGTTGAATATGCAGGAGGAGGGGGCAAGAGGCTTGGCATTTTTTTATTTTTAGAGTGATCAAAAGACATCAACTAAGGAGCATGCACGATCTGGACCTAGGCCCCTGCACACACTTAGCCAATGGGCTGCTTGGTCTTCATATGGGTCGCCTGGCAGTGGTGGTTGGGCACTGTTTCTAACATGGACTCTGTTGCCTTCTTTTGGATAACTTCTCCCTGGCAGGACTGCCTGGGCTGGCCTTAAGGGATAAAGATATGCTCAGTCCTGTTGTGACTTGATGTGCTGGAAAGGGTTGATACAGAAGTGGGGGGGAAAGGGAGAGGGGAAGAGAGAAGGGGGGAAGGGGGATATTGAAGAGAGGAGGGAGGGGGCATCCTTGGACTAAAATAAATTTTAAAAATAATAATTTTTTTTTTTTTTTTTTAAAAAAAGCTCAATTACGGCCGTTGTTTTCTCCACCACGGTATTAGCCTGTGAAGGAAAGAAGCCGGGGTGTCTCCTGCCCCGGCCCACGGTGCCGTTTACCAAGTGAGTGCTCACTGTGTCGGGTCATGTTCTGCTTTATTCAGATACATAGCTGCCCAGACTGGAAGAGTCATGCAGGACATCACCTCCAAGGAGTCCTACCGGAGGCGGTTTGAAGCCATCCAGCATTGCTTCAGGGTTATTGGGTTCACTGACAAGGTACGTGCCGGTTGACAGGGAAACTAACTTGGTGTGAATGTCCGGAGGTGGGTGTGAGGGAAGGCATGCGTGCTCTAGCTAGCTGGACAGTTTTCGAATGCCTGTCAGTCGTGACGTAAGGTTTATCTATGCAACACGTGGCCTAAGGATCCAAAACTCTGCCACTCCCCGAGAGCTTATTTAGGACACAGACTCTGTGGTCCATCCAAGAATGACTGAATCAGTATCTGTATTAGAACAAGGTGCCTAAACGAACATAAACGATGAGAGGCGTGGCTGTATAATTGACCAAGCACCTATCAGGTATCGATAGGACCAAACACCTAGCAACTGTTGCCATTATCGTAAATTCACCCTGGCTATACTAACAGATGCCCAAATACTGCAAAATACTGCGCTGTTCTGAGTTGACATTACTTCTGAAAAGAGCAATATGGAAGTGTATTGGTTATGCCTAGAACATATTTTTGCAAGTAGCTCTCTGTGCATATGACAAGCTAATTTAAACACTCTACACCCCTGCATCTGCTCTTTCCCCTAGCACGCTTGCGCATTGTTAACTATGGCTGTAGGCATGATACCACCCTCGTCACACTCCATCCAGGCTTTCTCCATTAAACACGTGCTCGGGCTGACACATGGCATTTGTAACTCCAGGATCAGATATTGCTCGATGCTCCAGTAGTCCACAGTTCCTGGGCTTCGTGCCACCAGTTTTGTAAGAACACACAGGTTCTTTCACTTTGCTGGCAAAGGGGGTGAGTGATTAGGAGGAAGGCTAGACTATTAAATCTTAGGGGACTAGTTTACCAAATTGTCTGTTTGCCTTGGGGCAGCCACTCCGGATGAAGATTGCTTCTGCAATCCAATGGTTTTTGACTGGGCCTTTCTCCCTAACATAGTTGATTTTAGTCCTAACAATACCTTTCTTTCTTTTTTCTTTCTTTCTGGTTAGCTAGCTGTTCATTTCATTGTTGTTAGCCTCTCACGCACCATAAATGGACAGCGGGAATATCCCAAAAGTCAAGATAAAAATAAAATATATTTCTCTCAGCTCCTTCAGGGGCAGTTGAACAGGTCCCTCCATCGTTAGAGGATTTTTATGGCGACCGACTTTTGGTGCTCATTTTTATCAATTATACATCATCAGAAGAGTCGATGGCAGGGGTGGGAAGGAAGCTGTTTAAAGTACAAGTCTATGGCTGAGATCATGCCAAAATGTGGGACATATGTTCCTAAAAGGGGACAGACCCATGGTGAAGGGAGCCCTAGGAGGAGTTGATAGTTTGCTTTTGAGAAATAAAGGATGGTGATGGAATGCTAGGATGTGATGGGCCCTGGCTTCAAACGAGAACACACAGTGATACTCTGATAGAAGCAGGCTTCTGTCATAGTTAGGATTTCTATTGCTGTGATAAAGCACCAGGAACTACAAAGCAATTTGGGGAGGAAAGGATTTATTTTATTTTAAAGCTTGTCTAGGAACTCTGGGCAGGGGTCTGGAGGCAGGAACTGAGGCAGAGGTCTTAGAAGAATGATCCCTACCGGCGTGTTCCTCCTGGCTTGCTCAGCCTGCTTCCTTACAGCGCCAACCCATGGATAATACTGCCCACAGTGAACTAGGCTCTTGTGCATTATCAATCCTGAGGATGTACCACTGGCTTGGCCACAGACCAATCTACTGACTCCATTTTTCTCAGTTGAGTTTCCCTCTTCTGAAATGACTCTAGCCTGTGTTGGGTTGATGTAAATACTAGCCAGCACAGCTGCAGATAATAATAATAATAATAATTAAAAAAAAAACAGATGTTAATGGTATTTAAGAGAGAAGCAGTTAAGCACTTCAGTATATGTCGTTGAGGCAGGCCATTCCCGAGCAGGGGCTGGTGGGTACGATAAAAGGAATGGCAGTGTAAATAGATACAAAAAGGAAGAAGATAGAAGGCAAAAATTCTCAGTTTGTGCCTGGTCAATGACTCACAGGAGTGTAATGGCCCGTTGCTGTGTGTCCTCTCCCTGGTGTATGGCTGGAGTGTTAGCACACTCCACGTATGTCCCTATGTGTATGTAGCTCAGTATATAACAGGAGCGTGATGGTGTGTCACTGTGTGTACCTTCTCAGTTTATAACAGGGATGTGGCAGCGTGTCCCTGTGCAAGGGATCTTCCCTGAGTCCCACATTAATTCACTTGGGAATAACTGACCCAGGTTAATTAGCAGCTTCAGAAGTGCAAGGGAGAAGATGGATTTTATCTCTCTGACCCTAACATCTATGGCATATCTTTGCAGACAACCTGTTCTGCTGGAATCTTGCACTTCATGTCATGTTGATAAAACCAGAGCAGTCTGACTAAATTCAGGAAGACTTGGTTGTATGGAGTCAGGCAGCAGATGCCAAATTGCTGGTGGGACACAATTTCTCTAACGATTTCCTGCCAGTCATTTCTCAACAGATCTTAAATGAACTGGCCAATTCAATTACAATTATATTTCCGGTCCTTTATTAGAAGGTTCCTAGTTCCCCATGGGAACTCCTCAAGTTTGGTTTTTGTTTGTTTGCTTCCCTTCCTTCCCCCACAAAACCATACAACAAGATTATGGCATGCAAACCTTAGTGTGGACCTGGGAGGATGAATTTTAATTCCAGGACATGTGCCAAAAGCATTCAAAGGAATACTTGATCCTGGGAGTACCATGAAGAAACTTCCCTGGTGGAAGGAGGCCTCCAGTAACGATGGATGTTCTATGCCAGGGATTTGGGATTTGACCTAACTGAGAAGATCAGTGTTTTTAAATTTCTATGTCTTGAGCCAAACTACAGTATTGCTGTTAAATATTAAATACTTGCTGGCCCTGCTGGTACAAGCATTATCCTAACACACTAAGTGAGTTGAGTTGTAGTGTTTAAAGCTGCCTGAAAATCTGGATGCTACATATGATGGTAGAGAGTGGGCATGCACTGCAGATCCCTGACACAGAGGTCAGAGGTCAGAGGTTTAGAGGTCAGCGCAAAATTTCTTTTCTTTCTTCCAAATATATCATGAATCAAAATAATACTTCTGAAAAGAGATTCCAAAGAGTTATATTATATGTTAAACTAGAAAGGATGGGATGCACTAATTTTTGAGGCAGTAAGTGTCATGAACCTCTGCTGAGGAAGTGAGGAGGATGTTATAATCCTTAGTTGACCCTGATGTGGTGTTTAAGGCAGAACTGGTAAAAAAAAGTCGAGATTTAGAGAAAAGAACGAGGTAAAGTAAGTTTCTAGGGAGATGCAAGAAAGACAGTGGCCTAAGGTGCCTGGCAGCCAGGCCAAAATGGTTTCAGCAAATCAGCATCAAGTTCTTCTTAACTTTGGACTTGGCCTCAGCTGTCTAGGCAACACTTGCCTTGGGAAGAATCGTCTGAGGAAAGTGCTCTGGTGGAGGAACGTTCTCCCCTCTCTCACTGTCTCTGACCAGTGATACAGACTGAACTCCTCAGCAGTGTGTTGAAATACACGATTGGAGGGCTTGGTAAGCCTTCTTGATAAAACTCTCATTCTGAAAGAGGTTTTTATTATTGTAGCATATAGGAGATCAGAGACTAGACATAAATAAAAGAAAGATTCCTCAAGAAAGCCTGGGATTCCAGAAAAAACTGCGATGAGGCAAGAGAAAACAAGCGACAGAAGCTGGAAAAGGTTTCCGCTTGATCAAGAAGTTTTGGGCAAGGTGGAGCCATTGCAGAGCCATTGTAGAGTGTTGGGGGCTCTAGCAGAGCTGGGCATGGGGGTGTTTTTGAACTCTGCGGTAGGTGGAGGTTCTTAGGTCTGAAAGGAATGTGTGATGAACCCTGAGGCAGGTCTAAGAGAGTGGGAGAAAATCCCAGAAATGTCTCCCAGGGAGCACACTGGGGCTAAATCCTTTTTAAAGAGGACGAGTTGCATGCCCCATCCCTGCTTTCTTCACTGAACCAAGGAAGGAGACGCAAGGAAAGAGCCGTCCACGTGGCATTCAAATCTAAGTGTCACTGAAGGTCAGTGGTAGGTTTCTACTTCTGTTGACTCCCTGGGCATAGCATCGAAGAGAATGTGGCCGGAGAAGCAGCTTGGTGAGCTGTTCATCTCAGGAGCATGCTCTCAGGCAGCCATTTTCCTCACACCCATTGTCTTAGCGCTAATGTGCTTAAAGCCTCTTGGGGCGGTGTCATATCGTATATGATAGGGACCGTGTGTGTTCCTTAGAGGAACTACACTTTTCCTGAAGAGTGAGGAGGGGTTTAGAGAACCCGTTGGGGAGGCTGGATACAGACACGGTAGACGCAGAACTCACCGCTGCAGCCCCGGCTTCAAACTCTCAGATCTGCCTCCGTCGGGGCTTGCTGCATTCGGCAGGGCTCACCCTGTATTGATCACCGTAATGGGGGGCTGTCATGTTAAACCCAGGCAAGTTCTAAAGAGCCCATTTGGGGTAGGTGTTCTCCTCAGCCACTCCTAAGTCACGTGATTAAATAGTGATTCTTGAAGTCTGAAACATGACATCTTGCCCGTGGTTTAAAAGTTGGAAGAACAATACTTCTCTATGGCAGGGGCTGGCTCAAGAATTCTCATTTGTCTTTGTAGCATTTTCAGGCCTCCAGTAGATGTCAGTGTTACAGCCTGCGTTGAGCTTTTAGGCTTTACTGAGTAATGTCTACAGGGAGGCTCATTTTGGGAGGCAATATTTATCAAGGGTCTAGTGACAGTTCCTATTACTTGGCTGCTGCGTACAGCATTAAATAGCTGTTTGAATATGTTTTATGGAAGTAGTTTTGTTTATTAGCATCAAATTCAGAAAATTTCCCACTAGATGTTTCATTATTTCACATATAGAAAATGTAAGATTTGAATAGAACGTGTATTATTTTTAATCCATTAATGGTACTTAGCTGTTCAGTTTTGAACATGAAAACAGAACTTAGATAATCTGAATGTATTTTACTCAAATTTTTGCCAACAAATATGTGAGGTTTTTTTTTTTTTTTTCCCCTAAACTTCCTTATCAATTAATCCCTTATACCAACTCAGTGGCCTACAGTTCTGCTCAATCTGTTTATCTAGTGTTAGCTAAGGGCTCAGTCCCTCAAGACTGCCCCCACTTCAGGCACCAGTTGGCAGCCCCAGGCTTTTCATATTTCGAACTGGGTGTGAAGTTACCATGACCTTAATTCTATAGCTTGCTTAATTGGCGTAACAGTTCACAAAATTCAGAAAAAAAAAAAAATTTTTTTTTGCTTAAGGTTGCAGACTTGTTATAAAGGTTACAAGCCAGGGACAGCCAAATAAAAAATGAATGGGCAGTACATGGTAAGGGGGCTCATGCCCCCTGGGCATGCCACCCTGCCAGCACCTTCATGGATTCACCAATTTGGAAGCTCCCTAATTCTGTTTAGAGTTTTTGTGGAGTTTGCCACAGACACCACACACACACACACACACACACACACACACACACACACACACACACAGCTAATTAGTTATTGGCCATTGATTGGCAATTAACTCAGTCTGGAGCCCTAGTCCTCCCCAGAGTTTGTTGGGATCAGGGGACTAAGAGTTCTAAGACTGGTTCCCCTTAATACCAGTTTCTGCAATTGCAAGTCTTGTCTAGAAGCCCGCCAAAATCCACTTATTAACATAAACACAGGCATGTTTGAAAGGCACCTGTTGCCACAACAAAGCTCTATTCACCCAGACAACTTTAGAAACGTCTTGTCCTAGGAGCTAGAGACAAAGGCAAAATACAGTTATTTCTTCTTACCTCATAATATCATGGTTTATTTCTAGTGAGTCTTTTAAAATGTGTGCTCACTCGATGCATGGCTACAACCTATAAGTCTGAGACAGCCTCCTTGTAAGCCATGAGTGGGTGCCCTCTGAGATATTTTATAGACAGCGATACCCAAAAGAGGTGAGGGAATATATCTAATCTCTTGTTTTGGGGGGAAAAGAAAGGTCTGTTTCTAAAGTTGGGAGCTGGGATTAAGTAGAGTAAAAGGCTAAAGGGTAAGTTAAAGGACAAAGAAGGTCATTTCCCTCTTGGCTACTGTGCCAGGTGGCAGAACAGCTCCATCCCACATAGTCCTTTGCTGGTTTAACGACATGGTGGAGCAGGTGGGTCTCTGAGTTCAATACCATCCTGGTTTACAAATCAAGTCAAGGATAGCCAAGGCTACACAAAGGAACCCTGTCTGAAAAAAAACCAGCCCCTGCCCCCAAACTTCCCCCCCCCCCAAAAAAAAATAAGAAGACATGGTTGAAGCCAGGTTGCTGGGCGTTCTAGCTAGCAATAGTGAGAAAGAAAGCAGAGAGGAAGTGTGCTCCCTTCCACAGGTCCTGGAACCCAGGGAAGCACACATCACTTTACTTGTCTCATCTTTAGCACTTAGGGACATGGCCACCTCTGTGTGTGCTCAGGAAGAGGGAGAACAGAGTTTGATGGACAGCTATGGTACTTTCAGCCGAAGGGTAAGGGGCTTGTTAGTTTGATTGGTGGTGCCCTCCAAGCATGTCTTCTCAACGTCCTTTTCAGGAGGTGCATTCCGTGTACAGAATTCTGGCTGGGATTTTGAATATCGGGAACATTGAGTTTGCAGCGATTTCCTCTCAACACCAAACTGATAAAAGTGAGGTGCCCAATGCCGAAGCTTTGAAAAATGGTAATTGATGCTTACGCCTTCCTTGTCAAAGTGTGCATGCCTTTCATGTCTGAAGCATTTCAAGGACCTGTGGAATAGGTTGCAGCTGTAACTCATCCTCCTGTTAACTCTAGAAGGTTCCACTGGCCAACATTTCCCAGAAGCAATCCTGTGGAATAGTAGCCTTCGCCCCTACGCTGCAGATGGCTTTTCTGCAGAAAAGCAGCCTGTGGCTGAGTAGCTTTACCCAGGAGTTCTCCACCTGATTTTCACAATAATTTACATTTTGAAAAGAAATATTAAGGTTTGGCCCCTTTACGAATTCATGGGGTCAGCAACTGGAGGAGAGAAAGTAGCACCTGCTTATTTTGAAAGTTCTACTAGCAATCGTGGTGAAAGAATGGGTGAGGACTCTTCATCGATATCTGCTGGGCAAGATGCTTCCTACCTTGGGAAGAGAGGCTGGAGGATGCAGGATCTGAAGCCAGCCTGGGCTACAGAGTGAGTGAGAGAGGACAGCTAGGGCTACACAGAGAAACCCTGTCCCGAAAAACCAAAAACCAAATCAAAAAAACAAAACCCCTTTTTTGTGTTAATCTGCGGCAGTCTATTTAGGGTCTCTATGACCCTCTGTGTTTGTGACTGTCTAGTCTCACAATGTATTTGATAGAGGATGGCTTCCTCTCCCTCCTCAGACCTCTCCCTCACACCCTTTCTTACTAAGTACGTGTAGGGAGATGTCAGAACAGCGTGGGAGCTGCCCTGCCCAGCCCAGATGCTTCTTGGAGTTAGGGACCTTGCTTGTTTGTCTTGAGTGTGAAGCACCTGGCACAGAGGCTGGCACACCGTGGCTTCTGCAGGTGCTGCTTGGCGTGGGCTGTGTGAACGGTGGCCACACGTCTGGGGTCACACCTCCTCTTTGTTCCAGCTGCCTACCTGCTCTGCATCAGCTCCGGAGAGCTCCTGGAGGCCCTCACATCCCACTGTGTGGTCACGAGAGGCGAGACCATTGTCCGAGCCAACACCGTGGACAGGGCTGCAGACGTCAGGGACGCTATGTCGAAGGCCCTTTACGGGAGGCTGTTCAGCTGGATTGTGAACCGCGTCAACACTCTCCTGCAGCCGGATAAAAACCTGTGGCAAGTCCCCTGGGAAGCCGAGGCCCAGACACCAGGCGTCCCTTAGCTCTACTTGGGTTTTCCTTAGCCAAAGGGCCCCCTCCAGCCCTCCGCATTAAAAGTATCAGTGGGAACCAGGACACTTGAAGCATTTACTCCTGCGAGGAGAATGACGGATGGAGGCTTAGCAGGGAGCTGGAGAAACAGGTTCCCCTCCACCGTCCACAGCTACATCAGCTGAGTATTCTGCCACCTTTTATCTCTGTAAAAGGGAAGTTAGAACGTCCTCCTCCTCAGGGTGTTTTTAGAAATACATGATACATTTTGTGAAACACTTTAAAGCACAGACTCTCTTTCTTGTTATTGCTACTATGATTCTGAGCTTTAGTGTTCTTCTATATCATAGAGAAATTGACACAGTTAAATTCAGAAGTCGCCTCCCAAGCCGGTTTTGGGGTGGGTAGATGGAAGAATAAGTCTGAGAAGCCAAGGCCCCTTTGCGTGTGATCTGCATCTGAATAGATTTTTGTCCTGTTAGCCTTTTTTTTTAATGTTTATATGTTTTGAGGCAGGGTCTAGCTCTGTAGCACAGGCTGACCTTGAACTCCCGACAACCCTGTCTTAGCCTCCCGAGTGCTGAGATTACAGGTATGTGTCACCATGCCTGGCTAATTTCAAAGGATTCTATTATTAAAGGATTTTTTTTTCACTTTTTTTAAAATGGAAAGTTTATCGAAAGTTTCAAGCTGTTGTCCCTAGGAAGCAGGAGGCATCTTTCCCCGATGGACCTGCATGTTGGTTGACAGGTGGACTTGTATTCTTTTTTTTTTTGTCATTTAATCAATCAATCAATCAATTAATTAATTAATTTTTAATTTTTTATTAATTACACTTTATTCATTTTGTATCCCCCCATAAGCCCCTCCCTCCTCCCCTCCCGATCTCACCCTCCCTCCCCTTTCTGCATGCATGCCACTCCCCAAGTCCACTGATAGGGGAGGTTCTCCTCTTCTTTCTGATCTTAGTCTATCAGTTCTCATCAAAAGTGGCTGCATTGTCCTCTACTGTGGCCTGATAAGGCTGCTCCCCCCTCAGGGGGAAGTGATCAACGAGCAGGCCAATCAGATTATGTCAGAGGCAGTCCCTCTTCCCATTACTATGGAACCCATTTGGACACTGAACTGCCATGGGCTATACCTGTGCAGGGGTTCCAGGTCATCTCCACGAATAGTCCTTGGTTGGAGTCTGAGTCTCTGGGAAGTTCCCTGTGTTCAATGGACTTGTATTCTTATTGTCGTGAGAGAGATGCGACTCCTCCTGATTGGTTTCCTTTCTCTCGCAGTAGTGCCGAGGACAGGATGAGCGTGGGCATCCTGGACATTTTTGGCTTTGAGGACTTCCAGAGGAACTCCTTTGAGCAGCTCTGCATAAACATCGCCAACGAGCAGGTCCAGTACTACTTCAACCAGCACGTGTTTGCCCTTGAACAGGTAGAGGTTGACTCTGCAGCTGAGAGTGGCAGGGTTGGGGCTGGGTCCTGGGGTTGGGGAAGACTGACAGGCTGCCCACAATGTGAAGGAAAAATCTGGTTAGTCAGGCTGTCAGGTAGAAGACTGCAGAAAAAGCACTGGTGAGACAGTCCTGTTGAAATAAACAGGCCGGGTTTAGTCGGGGAGAAGAAAAGCTCCTGCTTTCTGTGGAAAGGTATATTTCCTCACTTGAGTGGAGCTGGTGACAGACCAATTATTTAAGTCTTGCTTCAAAATTCTTCCATGTGTATCATTGAATATGTTTCATTCTCTCCCATTTTTGGCTAAAAATATCTATACTGTTGTCTAAAAAAGTCACCTGAGCCCAAGACATGGTTCCTTAAAACCCATACTCACCACCACCACCACCACCACCACCACCACCATCATCATCATCATCCTCATCTCCCATTGTCTCTTGCACCCGGTTCCCCAGTAATGAAGGGCGTCTCCAGGCAGGAGAAAGGCATGTTCTTGAATCTCTTGACATGGAAGTCTACTCCCCACACAGTTCAATGGTAAATCTGACAATCTGAGAAGACACCAGGGCCTCGCTCCTGCAGCATTGACCTCAGCAGTGTTCAGTTTCACCGGACCTATGCTCATACCTAAAGTCTCCCTTTGGGGTAACACGAAACAGAACAACCCGAACGAGCCCAGTGGCTGACTCAGTCAGCTTCCATGCACGGGGCGGGCTGGGGGTGGGTGAGAGTGGGCACACTAAACGTGAGTAGGTAAACATAAGGACAGTGAGGAAATACACACGCTCTGGGTATGTCTGTAAACCTCCGTCACCCGTTCACCGTACACAAAACTTGATGTTAGGCAGACCCGCAGTCCTGCCATTTATCTCCCTGGGAAACATGCAGTTGCTCAGGGGCTGAGAGGTAGCTTCTGCTGGCCTACAATAGGTCACATTTAAATCACACCCAAGGGCACAGCTTCAAGGCTGTAATGCATAGGTTCTTTTGCCATATGCCCCAAACATACCCAGTAACTCACACGACTCAATATGGCCAGCCCCAGGAAATCCAGGCTGAGATGTCCTGGTGGTACAGAGGCCAGGTTCAGGCCAAAGAGTCACAGCCTGTTTCCTTCCAGATGGAGTACAAGAGTGAAGGCATCGATGCCGTTCTTGTGCAGTATGAAGACAACCGCCCACTCCTGGACATGTTCCTTCAAAAACCCTTGGGCCTTCTCGCACTTTTGGATGAGGAGAGCCGTTTCCCCCAAGCAACGGATCAGACCTTGGTTGGTAGGTACCTTTCAGGAGAAAGGCAGACATGATGAGAGGTACTTCACTCGAGGCATTAGCTGGATGTGTTTTAAGCTGTAAGCAGTTTACCCGTCTTACTTAGGACACTTAGTTGATTGTAAGAGTAGAGACTTGGGGTTCCGGAGAGACGGCTCGGAGGTTAAGAGAACTTGCTGCTCTTGCTGAGTTCAGTTTCCATCGCTCATATCAAGCTGCTTACCACCTTTAGCTCCACTCACAGAGATTTTAACCCCAGCTTCTGCCTTCTTCTGGCATCTGGGCACATACAGTATACAAACAAGCAGAAGCACACACATGCACATAAATACAAATTTAAATTAAGAAAATTAAAAATTGTGTTTAAATGAAATGCAATGTCCCAGTGGAATTTGCAACTTAAATCTAGCACCAATCCTCAGCTCCCTCTCCCCATTCTCCTGTTCCTACCATCACAAATGCTATTATTTCCTTATGCTTATATCATCTTATGCCTTCACCTCCCTTAGTTCTCATCATCAGTACTTCCTGATCTTCCTTTTACACTTCATCTTAGCCCAAAGGCTGAGAAGTGATCATTTATATCCTCTTCGCAAACTTGTGCCATGTCTTCACCATGGCTCCTATCAACCTCTAGTCCCAGGCAGCACAGGAACCCTGTATTCCCTGACTCACAGTGTCCCTCTTCTGTAGATATTCCTGCTGCCTTGCTCTTTCCAAAGCCTCCTTTTCTTAGGTTACTGGTATCTCTTAGAGAGAGATATGTACCTCTGTCTGGCATCTAAATTTCTCTCCTTTTTATATCTATCTATCTATCTATCTATCTATCTATCTATCTATCTATCTATCTATCTCCCATTATCTGTCTATCATCCATCTATCTCTCTATCTTGTGTGTAGGGGCCAGTTAGAGAACAACTTGTAAGAGTAGGTCCTGTCCCTCTAGCTTGTCCTTGAACTTGGCTAATCAGGCAAGTGCCTTTACTGGCTGAGCTGTCTTGCCAGTCCATATCCAAGTTCTCCATCTCCACTCCCTCCCTGCTCTGCCCTTATCCCTCATGAACTTTTCTTTTTTTTGAATCTTCATTTTAAATGAGCTTTTGTCATTATCTATGTTGTGATGTTAGAGGGCCTGGGGCCCCAGTTCCTTACCTGCCTTTAGTACCTAGTGTGGTTCCCCATGCTAGGCCCTGGGTCATACCCACAGTAATGTTTGTAGGTGGAGGGAGTAGAAAGTTTTGAGCTCTTTCCTCAAATAGAACTCTGTGTAAGGGAGACTCACTTCAGAGTGTTGAAGTCAGCACCAGCAGTTTTCTCTTCCCTGCACATTGCTCAAATGAAGCCCAGCTGGGGTTCTCTGCCTTGCTAGCCTATCTGCACGTTCCAGAGCTCCTTAGCAGGATCTATTGTCCTTGGTGTCCACACTAAGAGTTTCCCAGAGATAGGAGGGGAATGAGGCTTCCTAACAGTGAAAGGAAGGCAAGATGGGGCGTGCCCATCTAAGCAGGGCTGCTTGGGGCTGGCCTGCAAACCTTTATCCTGTGTGTCCGGCTAGAGGAGCAGATTTTGGTCTGAAAGAGCAAACAGTTTCCATTGTTTCTCTCCAACATGAAAATCCATACAAGTCAATTTTGAAATATTCTATTTAATATTCATACATTCATATGATATGTTTGGATCAAATCCATCTCCTGTTCCTCCCCCTCCCAATTCTTCCCTTACTCCCCTGTACCACTGCTTTCCCCTTTCAGCAACCCCCTCCTCTGTAATACCCTCTGGGTCCATTTAAGTCTCTGTACGCATGAGTGTGGGGCCATTTCTTGAAGCATGTGTAGCCTCTCAGGGCCTGCATCCCTGAGGAAAACTGGCTCTTTCTCCCGCTAGCAGCTATCAATTGCCAATGGTTCCTCAGCTAGAAGTGGGATTTCATGGGCCCCTCCCCCGTGCTGAGATTTGGAGTTGGTTGCCTCTTGTATGGGCCTTGTGAGCCGTGACACAGACACGGTCATAGAGTCCAGGTCGGGGCTGTTGTGGGTTTGTGTGTGCAATTGCACAGTCATACACAGCAAATACCGTTTTCACTATGCACATCCACTTCCTCTGACTCTTTCCACCCCTTCTTCTGTGATGATCCCTGAGCCTTGCTGTGTGTGCGTGTGTGTTTGGAACGTGTGTGCCTTCTAGATATCCCATTTAGAGATGAGCACTCCAGTCTCTTTTCTGCACACAGATAAGTTTGAAGATAACCTACGATGCAAGTTCTTCTGGAGGCCCAAAGGAGTGGAGCTCTGTTTCGGCATTCAACACTATGCTGGACCGGTGAGAGGGGCAGGAGTTATGGGACCTAAGAATGACAGCATACCTGTGTCCCCCCGCTCCCTGGTGGGGATGCTTATGAAGCTGCCTGCAGACTGCCCTCTCCTTTTGATTCTAGTCACCGTCCCCAAGTGTCCTCAGTGTGACATTTATAGATGTGGTGGCCCGTGGAGCCACCTCCTGCTTCCCGCCTGGAGGAGGGCCCAGAACTGACAGCTCTCGAGGCAGGAAACATACCACAGCCCTTGCAGGGTTTAATGGTCAATGTTCACACTCTGAAGACACCTGGGATGAAGGTGACATGTCTATGGGCCGCTAGAAAGGTCTGGTGAAAGGGCGCAATCTCCCTCATCCAGATGGTAAACTTTTAACATGTGAACCGGAACACCCGCTTTCCACATATCATGCTTCCATTTCAATTTAAGTTCCCAAAGCTGATTGGTGACTGATTCAGGAAGCTGTCCAGCCCCATAGCCAACAGCTCACCGCTGTGTTTCTCCCAGATAAACCAATTCAATTGTGACCAGTTTCTATGAGGTTAATTGAGGCCCTAGATCCAGGAAATGGGTGAGGTTCAATGAAAGACATTTAGGATGATCCTGTTGATGGGTCCAAATTATCTTCCAAAATTTTATCCTCAGTTGAAAGTAAATTTACCTTCCATATTCTCTATGCCTCTCTTTCTTGTCCTCTGATATACGTTTTTCTATTTGTATCTGTTTCTTTTGTTTTTCTCCTTTCTAGGATTCTTTTGTCTCTGTAAATTCTTTGTTGAATTTATTATCTATTTATCTTAGTTAGGGTTATTATTCCACGAAGAAGAACCATGACCAAGCCAACTTTTCAAAGAAAGCTTTTAATTGGGGACTTTCTTTCGGTTTCAGAGGGTGGGTCCATAATCATCACGACAGGGAGCATAGTTGGGGAGAGAGAGAGAGAGAGAGAGAGAAGAAACTGGGCCTGGCATGAGCTTTTGAAACCTCAGAGATCACCCCCAGTGACATACCTACTCCAACAAAGTCATACCTCCTAATCCTTCCTAAACAGTTTCACCAAACTGGGTCCCAAACATTCAAGTATATGAGCCTGTGTGGGTCATCCTCATTCAAACCACACAGCACTCCAGATTTGTAGACTAGCCTTAAAAAGACCTCTAAGTTGGATTTCCTCATTGCTGAGAACCAAGCACCACTTAGTCAGACTCCATGAGTGCTCTATTAGCAGTGAGAGCATGGTGGTCATGAGCTGAAGGCCCATCTGCCCCAGTATGATGATTGCCCAACCTCATTCATCCCCTTGTTCAGCTCCTGCTGGCCTATCAGTAGAATGGGGGATGGATGTTTTATACATGATGAACTCTTGGTATTTTTAACAGTTTTTCTATTGTGCTATATCTTTAGTATGATACTTTTCCTCAAAGATAACTGGACAAGAAGCTGAGATAAACGGACCTGTCAAAAGCACAACTCCCTTTTATCTGGTGCTTTGAAGTTGAAAGGCTGAGTGTAGCAGGATGAGTTTATCTAGTTCTGGGCAACAGCTACCCAGGCAGTTGCCTTAGTTAACTTGCATACTTTGCTGTCTCTATTCTAGGTACTGTATGATGCTTCTGGTGTTCTGGAGAAAAACAGAGACACCCTCCCTGCTGATGTGGTTGTAGTCCTGAGGACTTCTGAGAACAAACTTCTTCAGCAACTGTTCTCAATCCCTTTGACCAAAACAGGTACCTGGGAAACCTTTCCCCCAAGCCTCAGTCTGATGCCTATATGAGCCAAGGCGATGTCTTTCAGTGTCTAAATACTGCACACACACACACACACACACACACACACACACACACACACGCACCAAGGCTCAGGGATCATCACTGCCCACACCAAATTTTCCCCTTTTGAAAAGACTTACTTCATTTTGTTTTGTTTTGTATGTCTGAGTGTTGTCCCTACGTGTGTGTCTGTGTACCATGCATATGCGTGGTGCCCACAGTTCTAGATTCCCTAGAACTGGAGTTAAGGATGGCTGTGAGCTGCGATGTGGGTACTGAAAGCAAATCTGAGTCCTCTGCAAGAGCAACAAATGCTGATCCATCTCTCCAGCTCAACATTGAACTTCTTTAGCCAGGGTCAGGGTTCTGCCTAAGTTCAAGAAAAGAGCATGGCTATTTATTTTGTAAGTTAACTCCTGAGAATTTTCCTTGCACACACACACACTTTCCATATCATCTCTCAGCCTTCTCACTTTCTCTGCCTCCTTTTAACTCTTCCTTTGATAAAACTGTAATATTATCATTAATTCACACTAAGCATCTAGGCTTGACTTGGTTTAGCTAGAGTTATTGAGGTGATTCTTTCTATTTATAATATTCCAAGTAAAGAGGACATGCCACGTCAAATATCTGAGCACGAGCCCCTCAGAGATTCCCTGGTCCAGTTCCCACCCAGGACCCAGTGTCTACTCTGTCATCCCCTAAACAACCAGCAACATCCATGGCATCACTTGCTGACAGTCAACCTAAGATGTCATTCTGTGAGTCCTCATGCAAGGGAGCAGTATGCCAGGGCCCCAAAGGGGAGCTCCCAGCTCTTTTCTGTGCTGCCAAATGGATTCTCACTGGGCCAGGCTCCTTTGATTTACCTGGGATCCAGCTGTCTCCATCTGGGCAGGCCAGTCAGACCTCTTCTCCCTGCTCTGCTCCTAAGGGCTTTGTATTATTGAGGCTATCTGGAAACAGCTGTGGATGTGCTTTTATGAACGAGTGGGAGAGCCTTTTTAAAAATCACTCCTTCCTTCTTTTTCCTAAAATCAATGGCACCCGTGTCTCTTACCTGTGACATTTTCAAGTTGGAACGGAACTGTCACCATGTGTGAATATATTATAGACAGAGTAATGAAAGTTGTGAATAAGGGAGAACAAAAAGGCTAGTCTGCAGCCTTTACCTCTCTCGATGAAGTAACTTAACTACCTTCAATCATGTTCCCATGGTACTCAGTGCCCAGCAAAAGTCTGCTGCCAACTCCTTGGCTACAGCCAGGATTGATTCATATGGACCCCTGGGTTCTGGAGGGCAGGCGTGGGCAGAGCTGGCTGGGGCTTCCCCACTGGAGCTCGGACTCCTCTGCAGCTGGTTTCTGGGCAGAAGCAGAGATGACGCCATTATTAACAGGGCTAAGAGTCCCTGAAATAAAATCTGCCTGGAGGACCCTTCAGCTGGCATTTGCACTCTCCCAAAAACGTGAATAGTGACTTGTCAAATCTGTTTGTGATTTTGGAATTTACTTCAATCTGTAGTGAAAGAAAAGCAAGTTCCTAGTCTCGAGCACTAGGTGTCTCTAGGCAGAAAGCAAGGCTCTGCCATGAGCCCCTGCTCTCCCTGCAGTCATCCCAAAGCAGGAAGGAAACACAGAGGGGCCTTTTCTATTTCTTGATTTTAATTGTTAAACTGTCTTCTAGAGAGCTTACAACTTTTTCTGATTTTTTCCCTGGAAATTGAATCCCACATCATCTAGGAGTTACAAAAGTGGGTATTGAGAGAGAGAGAAGGAGAGAGACATAGACAGAGACAAAGACAGAAAGACAGAGAGACAGAGACAGACAAAGACAGAGAGACAGACACAGAGAAACCGACACACAGAGAGAGACAGAGAGAGGAAACAAATGTGATATCCTAGCAAGCTTCTCTGTAATTTTGAGTTGTGTGCTAAGCTGCTAAGTTTTTAAATTGAAAGTTCACTTTTCTTCATATTTTGGATTATATTAAGAAGCCACATATAAGCCTCAGAACTAACAAGCAAGAGTCTGTTTGTTGCTTTCTGGACTTACTCATGCAAAAATGCATTCAGTTAACAGACAGGAAAAGTCCCCTGTTGTCCTATTTGAGACAACAGGAGGTGACAGCAGAGTTAGTACAGTGTGCTATTAGAGAAACTAGAACTTCCTCACACCTTCACTTTCTATCTGGAACTGGGTCCCAGTTTATTGCCTTATAATGATAAACATCCTCAGACCTCCATTCAAAAGTGACAATGTGTCCTCCGTCAAATGACAGAATGTTAATGAGGCTTGTAAAATCTGAAACATCCATCACGACCTATCATCTCTCTGTCTGTCTGTCGATCAGTGTAGTGTAGCCTTTGAAGACAAACCTATTGTCTTCACTGAAATTGAAAGCATTTGTTTCAGGTGCATGCCTGTCTCTTTGAAGGGGGAAGAGGCCATACAGTGCTGCTTGAGACAAAGGAGGCCCCAGTTATTCTGGCAAAATCATCCCAGGGCTTACCCCCCGCCCCTGCCCATTGTTTAGGTCATTTTATTTACCCTGCTTCAAAAGTTAAATATATGGCTAAGAGCATTTGCTACTCTTGTAGAGGAACCAAGTGCTATCCCCAGGCCCTACATGGTGGCCTATGACTCCAGTCCCAGGAAACCTGATGCCCTTTTCTGACCTCCACAGGCACCAGGCACACATATAGTCCATATACATACATGCAGGCAAAACACTCATCCACATAAAATAAAATAAATAAATCTTAAAATACAGCAACAAACATACAATTGACACCCTAGGTGGTGCTGGCCATGCTCCGGTGCTCTGGCTAGTGTCTCAGGGGTGGGCACCTGGACGCTTGCTTCATAGTAGTCACTGTGCTGTGGATGTATGCCTTGCACACTCTTCCGTGAACATTCTATTTCATAGTAATATGGGCTTTTGCCAAAAGCTAAGGAAAGCCCCTTAAAATTCAAAGGAAAACTTTAATTTCACTATCAAAGAATTCCTTCCAGCTAAGTGCAGGTTTCCTGGGAGCTAGACTGAGATTGTCCTTTGCTTCCAAAGTCAGGCATCAGAGCGCCCCAGGCTGGCTTTCTTGCCTGTTCAAGGGAGCCTCTTCCCTGGGCAGCCAGGCAGGTAGCACTCCCTTCATTAGTTGATATGGAGAGGGTGTATCAGCTTAGTTTCTAATTAAGGTTGAAAAGATCAACACCTGACTCTGTGTATCACTCTTTAGCTTTCCACGACTAGAACAAACACCAGAGATAACCAACTCCTGAAGACAAAAGATGTATTTGTTTGTTTCTCACAGTGTTAGGGGTTTCTGTGTGTGATCAGTTAACTCTGCTGGTTTAGGAATGGGGTAGCACATCATGGCAGGTGTGTCTGGTAGAGCAAAACCTCCTTTGTCTGGAAAGAAAGGAAAAAGACCAAGTTTCCATCATCCCCTGTAGGGAGACACCCCCACGGATCTGAAGACCACTCGCTTGCCCTGCCTCTTAAAGGCTGCACCTGCTGGTGGTACCAAGGGTAGAGACCACGCCTTGACACATGGGCCTTCCAGAGGCATTCTCCATCCCAAGCTACCACAGTGTGACATCAGAGATAGTAACCACAGGGCATTTTCCCTCTGCCTCCTTCAGATTCCCTGTCCATGCTGACCGCTAAAGGGACTGAACACGCAGAGTGAGACCGTGCAGCCTGGGGTAGCCAGGAGACAGGGCCACGCCTGTGTTCTCCAGCACCAGCCACCTCTGGTGGGAAAGGTGCCTGTGCTGAGGGATGCTCTCATTGCCTGCTTCCCAGTCACCATTGGGTAAACTGAGGCAGCCATGGTCAGCATGGAGTCTTTCCCTTTGGGCATGCTGGCATGACCATGCTTTTGCCAGCAGCTGGACTGTTTCAGACATAGTGATATCTCCTACATAATTCTTCCTGTTTATTAGAAGTTCTAAGGTGGCTTTGTGGGTAAAAAAAAAAAAAAAAAAAATGACATGGCAGCAGAGATACATTCTAATCTTTCAGCTGAGACTTCTCAAACTGAATGATCCAAGCAGAAGAACGGTAGAAGGATTCGAAGACAGTATCAGGGCACACTTTCCCGTTTGCAAAATGCCCTGTTGTTTATTAGCAGACTGGATAAAGGTAAAAAAGGCTCGGGGGAGGGAAGAGAAGAAGTTGAAAAGGAACTTGAAAGATCATATCTACATTTGAACCATATACTCTGACTTATGAATAGCAGTTTGGGGTCTTAAAGGAGTTAAGAGCTTGGGAGAAACTAGAAGGAAAAAGAAAAGCAAGAAAATGAGAGGGAGCATTCTGTAACGTCAAAGACTAGGCTGGCTTCAGAGCCCGGAGCTGAGTTCTGGCCCCATTACCTTCTGCCTGAGGTCCTGCACATCTCTCCTTGGAAGTGGCGTTTCAGTAAAATAATGCTCTCCCTCTCTTGGCTTTTTGTTGCTCTTTGCATTTGGAATGCGGACAGCAGCGCCTACCATCTTACAGATCTTTAAGGCGTGATTATACTTTGCAGAGCGGGTGAAGTCAATGGGATCCTGATTCTGTACCTCCCAAACAGAGCAGCATTAAGCCCTGAAGAGGGCGCCAGTGGGTTTCTCCTTCTAGCTTATTCCTCTGCTCAGACCGTTCAGCAGACAGGTTGGGAGTAGGACCAGCAGTGGCAGAGCCCAGGACCACACACAGCACAGTGCCTGCTTCTTCCTGAAGTGGAGGCCCAGATGACTTTTGTCCCATCAGGGGTCCCTGGAGAGCGAGCTCCTTGTCACACAGAGGAGACCCTCTTCTTCCCGTGTAGCCCGAGAGTGGCCTGTACCTCATGTCAACAGATAATTACGTAGTTAGCAAAAATCATGGAGCTCTGATTCCACGCATAAGTTCCATTTTCCAGAAGGAATAGAAGAAAGTTCCGGCCAGAAAAGTCAGAGACAAGTAGTGC